TCGTGTCTCAGGGATTCCCCCCCCGGCTGCTGATGTGGCAGTGATGTCCCTCGTGCCTGTCTTTGCTCCCCCAATCTGCGCAACAGAGAAAGAGCTTGCACCCGTCGATCAATAGGCGGCAAATGTGCCGCTGGGGTGCAATGACCATCCGGGCCAGGTCCAGTCCTCATCCTCACGCGACGACCTCCGCCGTCATCTTCGTCCGCCATACGGATCCTCGGGACGTAATCGGAGTCATCAGGATCGTCGGCGCCTGTGGTCTCACCGCCCTCAGCAGCTGTGGAGCTGTCGTCGTGGAGGATGATCGTGCCGCCTCGTCTTTTCTCACCTCGACCTGCTTCGTCCACTCTGTCACCTCCCTCCGCCCCCCCCTGTCCATCTGCGGCAGTTGGCATCTGTCTGGTCTCGTCCCTGTTGCGGAAAAAAGGATGCAGGCGGCGCCGGTGATACGGAATCGACACACCTGTTCCCTTCTTCCTCGCCCGTGACAGCCTCGCAGTTGCCATCCTGGTGTCGTTGACATCGCTCGTCTTGGCCCGTATAGGCCTCCCATGCTGCTCCTCGTAAGCTCTCATGGAATCATGACAAGTGCCATCGACGTTGCCGATCGATCGCGCCCCCGCGGGCACATTTGCCGGTCCATATGCTGATGTCTGTCCGATATCGCCCGCCCTCCGGTCCATGCCCGCACCGTCGTAGAAAGACCTCGTAGGCAATGTGCTCGGCGCGGCCTGCCCGTGGGCGGCAAGATCAGCGGCAGAGGGGCGTGAGGGTGGTGGACACATAATGTCACTCATCCCCGTCAAATGCGGTCGAGGCTCATCTGTGTGCCCGTCTCCAACGTCATGTGTGCTGGGCCTGACAATGCTGGGGTGTGCGGTCGATGACCCTCTGCGCTCGATGCCCCCCCTGAAGGACCGTCCACCATCTGCGCTCCCTGGCTGCGCTGTATCCTCGCTCACGCCCTCGCCTCCGTCCGAGCGGATAACTCCGGGAGGCCTCGCCTCTAAAGTCTCCGCTGGCCCTCGATGTGGCTCTTGCTGTGGGCCCTCCTCTGGTGGATGGACTGATGACACGCCGTCCGATAACTGCTGCGAACCATGACCCCCCTGCGCCAAAAAATCTCCAGACGCTGCCTCTAGTGAACCTTCCAGACTACGTTGAGCGACGTGCGGTCCACCACGACGGTTCCGTGCTACCTCCTCCGCCAACCCCTGCTCCACCGCCCACGGTGCACCGACATGAAAAATGGCGGAAGTGCCGGACTCTGGAGGATGCAGTATAGTGTCGCCGCCGAACTCGTCGAACCCTCTGTCACGACGCGCGTCATCTCGTCTAGCAGGCTCTGGTGGTGCCACAACCGGCAAAGTGGGAGATATCAATAGCGATATATCGGGCAGAGATGCCAAGGCGGAATCCATGGTGAATAGCTCGTCGGTGGGCGGAAGACTGTCGGGCGGGCAGTCGAGGCCGACGTGGTGGTCCGTCGGAGGACGTTCGTCCTCCCCGTCCTTTCCACAAGTGGGAGTGGGTGCAACCTCTCCCTCCTCTAGACCGCCGTCACTAGTGTGAGGAGGCGGCTCACGTCGTGCCTCGCCGTCCTCCAAACCCGCTCCTGTGGAGTGGACTGGGGCGCCTGCTGGAGTGCACCGAGTCTGCGCCTGGCGGAGTGGACCGGGTCCTCCGAACT